TAAAGGTATGTGAGCAGTTATTATCGAAAGAGTCACTCTCACTTACTAGTCCAAACAGACGAGAAAAGAAAATGGGTAGTGGATGTTGTAAGAAAACGAAGATTGTTGATGCAACACTGGCTGTTATGCAAACACAACATGTAGCTGCAACAGAAATACCTTATGGCTATGTGCTCATTTATCCCGGTAAGCCTAATTTTAAAGAAAACTGAAAGAGTCGGTAGACGCATCAAATGCTGTGAAGAAATTTCTGCTCACCTCCAAGTTAGAGCCCAGATGAGAAAGCCATATTCAGCGAGCCACGTCATATACTTACTACTGTAGTTAATTGACTCGATAAGCACGAATTGTTCATTTTTGCCCTATACTGCATATCCATTCAGAACTAAAACTATTTAGTTCTTCGAGTATGTTCGCCAAATCTTTCCTCTCAATACACTGAGACTTGCAACAGATGTGATATTCTTTCGTATGACATGTTTTACCGTATTTCGATCCTTCTAGGTATTTTAACACGCAATGAAACGTATACATCTCCGATGCTTTCAATTCATATTTATCGTCAATCATCAAAGAAAACTGCAGTAGATTATGCAAAAGCACAATTTTCAAACAAGAAGAAGTTTGATGGTCAGCTTGGTCCTCTGACTACATTTAAAGAAGAACATTTGTCTTCCGATGAAACTGTTCTTATGATTCCAGTTGAGGATGTTATCAATATCTACTATACGTCTGATGTAAAGAAGAGTGTTAAAGCAGAGGAATATTCACATCTTGTGCCTGTAGTTTCAGGAAAAGGATGTTGTTGTAGCTGCTGTAAAAGTGCTCCACCACCAGTACGCCAATCTGAAATAGTGGAGGCAAAGAATGCACAACGTGTTATAACAATACATCTTCAATATTCAAAATACAGTAATTTGGATACGGTATCAAATGCACGCATTCTTCCTGAATCAGATCGTGCAGAATTCTACAAGAAACAGTTTCGACCGTATGAGCAATTGCAGTTCTATCTAGTTCGGAATGCGGAGTATGATGCAACTAACTTTGATCAAAAGAGAGAGCAAGCTGAAAATCTTTGTCGTATTATTATGCAGCTAAAGGGAATGAATGGTGGTGTTACTAATAGTAGTGTGCGTCTTGTTACCAAAGAAGATGTGGTGATTCCTGCTGCTTCTCTACACTATCCAAGTCCACAAGCGCTTCAGCAAATATTGAATCAGCCGTATGTGGGTATCTTTGGTGATGCACATCAGGAGCGCTTACATTCAATTCAGACACATCAAGATTTTGGAACACATGTACCAGTACCGGTAAGGACAACGGTTGTAACAAGGGCAGCAGTGCGACCAACAGAAACGCCAACAAAAAACGATGACTAATAAGTTTAAAGAAGAAAGAAAACTAAACTGCACAATGGCTTTGCATTTTTAACTCTATCTGTATCTTTTCTCTTTGCTACAATAATGTTTCACATCTGAATGTTTCTCTACACATTTATCAAGCATTCCAGTATAACGTTCAGGTTTTATTTTTAACACGGATGATGAATAAAAAACATTCTGGTTTTGGTATCTTGTTTTTCTGCTAAAACAGTTACTGTGTGTATGATTTTGATACTTGCCATCAATATCCTTGGGGCAGTGTGACACTGGAGAAGGGTGAGTATGGATTTAGGTATAAGTGTGGGTGTATGTGTTGTGTGTAAGTGTTAGTCTTTTCGGTTCACACTCGAACTAAGACTCCACACATCCACATCTGGCACCCACACCCTTCATAGCTATCAAAGTTTTTTAACAACCATAAATGAACTTCTTTGAAGGTATGCACACAGAATTCGATTGTTTTCCAATAAGCTAAATAAAGAATTGCAACACAACCATGAAAGATCCAGATTATCTGAGTTGAATCATAATAAAATAAATAATACAGTTAACGTCGAAGAAAACAACACATTAGGTTTTCGGTATAGAAAAAAGATTAGTTTTATGTTGTAGTCAAAGGCCTATGATTGCTAGTGTCGATGAGTTCGTTTTTTAAAACAAATTACTAACTCTTCCTTTTAAATAAAGAAAGTCTTCGGTTTAACTTGATCAGTAGTGTAATTTTCATTGGCTAGAGTTGACTTAGAATTGAAGTTGAAATTTGTCGGAATTTATCATGAAGAAAGTTTGGATGGAATAAATAACTTATAAAAATGTGGAAAATTGGTAATTCTAAAATAACTATTTCAATCAATTTCCAATCCAATTTCAGTTAACTTTAAGAATTGAAACATTCCTGAATCGAACCGATCTAGTTTTTTTGAAAAAATTCAAATAGAACCGAACCCGTCTCCTATAGAGATTAAAATTCAAGAACTTAGAACAATACGCACCGTTATCGAATATTGTCCCTGAATCCGAGAAAAAGTTTTCGAGTGTTTTTAAGGATAAGAGAGACTGAAATCTCATACATTCTGTGTGACAGAAAGTGCCTTCATATGAATCTGTGTTGCAAGCAGATCCAACATCTGAAATTTGCACGAAGACTGAAGAAATTCTGCAGAAAGTTTAACATTCGTAGAAAAGAGAAGACCACATCACCCTTGCTCCGATTTGAATCTCTGCTTCGAAATAGATGGAATGATACTCTGCTAGATGAAACAATAAATTGTAAAAATGTTCCTTCATTCTTCTACAGTAGTAGTATATATATTTTATCAACAAAAATGATGGAAAAAAGTTGAATAACTAAAGTATTTTTGTTTTTCTTTCTAAAATGTCCAACAAGTAGCTCAAAATACAGATGATAATTTAAACAGGCAATGGAGTTTTCCATCGAATACATGCAATATCAAGATTTTGTTGATGAACTCTGATGGTAAAGTTTTTAAAAGAAACCGCACACGTTAGTTTTCATATCTTAGAAGATTTTGTTTGAGCTATTCTTTTAACGATACTATCATAAAGAGCATAAAATTTTAAACAAAACGAAGAGTTGTCAAGTTGTCGCATTTTCCACGGCTTTCTCTTGAAAAATTTCAATTTTTGACGGTTTTTGTGGCAGTTTTAACTTTTAAAAGAAAATCCGTAGAAAATATGGGGACTTTGCTTCAACCAAGTCTTCTAAGATCATGTATAGAAAATTCCATTGTCTATTTAAATAATGAGCTGAATTTGAGCTAGATGCTTAACATGATAGGAAAAAGTCAAAAAGACCTAAACTATCAAGAATGTCTCCATTCCTGGACATGAGAGTCAATTTTTTTTTCATCAGTACATATACTTAGTATCTCAAAAAAACTCGATTTTTTACTTTTTTTTTTTTCGAAAAATGTTTTTCGTCTTTGTGTTTTATCTACTTGTTGTAATCTCATGTTTAGTAGATGATCATGCTAGAGTCGCATGTCACGATACTTGAGATATTGTTCGATTTCAGTTCGAGATATGAGTAATATGATTGACTTAAAAAGAATGATGCATGTCTTTCATTTTTTCCCCAGTGATTTGCACAACTGCCAACAGTTCCCAATCTCTTTCATTCATTCATTTGCTTCTAATCAATATAGAAGTGAAAATAAGAAATGAACTTCAATCGATACGCCCTGTTTCTCCCATTACGAGAATCTTGCAAGTATTAAGAAAAAAGTGCTTCCTCAATCTAGAAAATTAGCTCATCAAATGCGCATTAGTCGAAAATGTACGAAACCTTACATATGAAGAAAAAAATATGAGTATTCAGAAAAAAGTTAACGAATTATAATTGTTTGACCAACATATTTTGATGTTTGCTAAACAATACTATAGACTATACTATGATGTTTATATTCAATGAAATTTATTCAATGTTATCAGCTTCTTCTATATGGATGTTGGCATCTTCATCTTCTTTTTTCTGATTTGTTAAAACACATAATACCACATATTTTAAAAAGAATAGCAACAACAACAATAAGACAGAGACTAAAAAAGAGTAACTTTAATGCTGGGCATTGTTGATAAACAACGAATAAAACGCTATCATTACAGATAATATAGCCATTGAAACGATAATAATACAAAATTGATAACGAAATGTCTACGTAATAATTCACTTTTGTGGTCGAAATTGAACTATAAAATTAAACAAAAAAATCAATACGATTATCTTTTAGGGTAAAGGTGGATGTGGGTGTGAATGTGAATGTCTCATTGATACCCACCCACACCATACTCACACCCATACTTTTATATTATTTAATAGGTAAAGAATAGTCTTTTAGCATCGTCATCATACGATGAATATTTATTTGATTATATTTTAGAGGGATCGCCGATCGCGTTCGCTTGTTTTCGAAGCAGATAAGATGTATGTGCATGTATTCTTACCATTTGTACAAAGTTATTTCATTTGAATATGAATCGATGGATCAACGGGCGACAGTGCTAAACTTTCACTTTGTAATCGACCTCCATACACTCTATTTATTGATGTGGAAGCTTTTTATGGTCGTCTTTCTGGACTCGATGGTCGTTTGGATCAATTATCCTCATTCTCTGTGAATATTAATTCCATTCAAAAATCACCAATGATTGCTGATAATCAAGTAGTGATATTTTATCTATAGTATGACTTGTGTATTATAAAAAAAACTATGAATAGATACTTTACGTAGATTATTATTATTTTTCTTTTTTATAAAAATTTTTATCTAATCTGAAAGAATTCTCTTTGACTAGTATGTTATATATAAATGTTTATGATTGTCAAATGTTAAAGTTGAATAAACCTACTCTATGTCTTAACATGATGCGATTAAGAACCGTATGTTATATTTAAATGCATTGACATGTCATATTTGTAAAATCATGTTAACTTCGGAAACAAATTATTTCTAATCAATTAATGATATTCAAAATATATACAGTAATTGAAAAAATTCTTTAGCTAAATGTTGTATCGATTATTTCTTAGGCGGGCATACTTATTGTCATATTTATTCAAACCCACACCCATACCCACACCCATCCACACCCACACCCACACCCACACCCACACCTGGTTACTTGATCAATCTCATTGAACAAATCTTGATTATCATTTATCTTTACCCTGTCTTTCAATAAATTGTATTTGGTTATTGTCTGCATATACTTCATTTAATACATTAACATGCATTTTCAGCCTTTTTATATAAAATATCTTTCTTTTCTTGTTTCCATAGGAAATATCATTGAATAATACGTATATTAACTCTAATTATATCTTTAACAATGCTCATATCTTAATTATTATGTTTTGTTAATTAAAGTGTGTGGGGTGTGGATGTGGGTCCTGTCTTTCCATAATCCATAAGCGGGTGTGGGGTGTGAGTGTGGGTGTGGGTGTGGGTGTGGGTGTGTGTGTGGGTGTGGGTGTGGGTGTGGGTGTGTGTGTGGGTGTGGGTGTGGGTGTGGGTGTGGGTGTGGGTGTGGGTGTGGGTGTGGGTGTGGGTGTGGGTGTGGGGGTGGGTGTGTGTGTGTGAGAAGCGATTCCCCACCCACACCCATCCTCCACACACACACCCACACCCACACCCACACACCCACACCCACACCCACACCCACACCCACACCCATCTCGCACATCCACATCGTCCCCACCCAAAAACACACCCACACCCATCCACACTCATTTCATGTTTTCAAACTTAATAGTCTGTCTTTTCTTTCTCAATAAAAAAAAAACCTCCAGCACTGAAACTTGATAAGACATTGATATGCACATTATAACAAGACGATAAAGGTATGTGAGCAGTTATTATCGAAAGAGTCACTCTCACTTACTAGTCCAAACAGACGAGAAAAGAAAATGGGTAGTGGATGTTGTAAGAAAACGA